TCGTGCAGTTTATTGTGTTTCACCGGCGAGGAGCTGTCATTACGTGCGACTATTACGCACGGCGGAGGTGATTCCCCTCGTCAAAGCTGCCAATTAGACTTACCACTACAACTCCTGAAAGTGGGGGGACAAAACACACACATATCAGCGGCAAACAGCTGTGAAAATGTATCCATATGCTCAAAACACAACATTTACAAGGAAAAAAATGAAAGATATTATTGGTTATAATTCAATTCACTGGGCTTTTATTTTGAAGTTCAGACACTTCCAGTCTATTATAATATTTTGTTTAAGATCAAAAACGAAAAGAGAAATTTTGTAAAAACATCCTGCCTTCCAACAATTCCTTTAATAGCCTATTTTTCCCAAAAGATTTTGCACTAATGATATGCCGGCGCAATGCGTACCAGTGCGCACAATCTCACCGCCCGTGGATGTTTATACATTTGGAAATCTGCGTGGCGGTGTGAAAGATCCATTGCGAGCACGGACAACAGGCGCCTTGTCTGTGGATTTCGCCGACCAAAATGTCATGTAGAGATTATTTTTACATGTAAGGGGAGCTGAACATACAGCTTTCATCCACAAACCAACGTGAGAGAGCCCCAAGACGCGTGTGCCAGACGCACAGAGGCTTGCGTAAAACACCAATTTTGACCACGTCATGCTGTTTAGTTGCTTTTTTAGTTAACTTTCGTTTCTTTTGGATTTTTGTGCGTATTATGGAGCCGTTTTGATCCATGTTTGTAAGCCTTTTTTTCCTGGATTAAATTTACTAAAGTTGCAACAAGTGGCGTCGGAGTGTGTGACTGAAAACCACCACGGTCTGCTTTCCGTTCAAGGCATCTCCTCCTTCAGATGCCGAGACTTTGTGTTTATTAAGTAAGCTTTCACTGACTGTATCACATCTGTACACATGTCTTAAAACATGAAAAATGCATGAACAGGAGCTTGACCTTCTACGCGCTTTTGACTAGACTGGCGCCGTCAAAATACGGGAGATTAAGTTGATATGCAGTACTCCTATTATAATCACACAAATAAACATGTTTTAGAACATGTGAAGTCGCATTTGTTGAAACGTAAACTACGTGTCCTGTCCTGTCAGGAGATCAGGACAGTCCTGATCTGTCACTCTCAATAAAATAATCTTGTCCCATCTCATACCCATCCTGTGTTGTGTTGCAATTCATATTAACTGCATACCGTATTCATATAAAATTGACCTATTGTTATTATTCCTGGTCCCACTCGCTCCCGTTTGTTTTTTTCCTGTCTCGTCACAGTACCATGATCAAATTATTCCCAGCCCACGGAAATCCTGTGACCCACAGAATTCCAGAAAAAAGAAAGAAAAAAAGTCAGCCATTAGTTACAGGCTAATTTATTGACTAGATTATGAAGTTATTCAATACCTTCCACCCACAGCTGCTTAGGATATTTTAACAATGCAATGTTATGTAGTCCCTGTCTGAGCTCTGCTGCGTAATTACACACAACCACATGTGGGTAGCCTATTCCTCTATCAGCATGTCTTAAAGAAGGGAGTCACCTGTTGACTAATTTCGTTACATGGAAAGCTTTGTCGGAATGGTGGGACATTGGCATGTCGGAATGGTGTAAACAGACAACGCGTTACCAGCAAGACTCGGGCTTTGCCTTCTTCCCATCGGTGACGCCCACACCTGTGTGCACGGAGCTCAGAATGCATACATTCTTGCTGGGCTTACACTGGTAAACGGTAAGAGTCACGTCACCGGATTTCAGCACTTTTGTGCTGAACAGCTCCGCTGACTCTTTAGCGGAGGGTGGCTGCACCCGGTGGCAGCTCCCGCGTCGTTTGCCCCAGTGTGCCGACCAGGCTGGTCTTTTTTGCCTGTAAGGTGGTGGCGAGCTTTACAGAAGTGAAGAAGTTATCTGTGGGTCATGTTTCTCCCCTTCTCCAAGATGGATAAATAAATAAATATTATAAATAAAAATTTAAAAATAACAGACCCCAAAAGCTTTGTAGGCTATGGGATCGGGGAACACAGGACCCTTTTTTTAAAAAAAAAGGGCCTATGTTCCCCGGGTCCTTTTGGGGAAAAGCGGGGAACATAGAACCCTTATTATTAAAAAGGGTTCTATGTTCCCCGCTTTGTATGGGACCGGGGAACATAGAACCCTTTTTAATAATACCCTTTTTCGACCCTTTTGGGGTCCCATACAAAGCGGGGAACATAGGACCCGGGGAACATAGAACCCGGGGAACATAGGTACGCTCCTGCGCAGTGATGCAAGGAGAGGGATGAGGTGTGTGTGGCTGAGCCACTTGTCAGTTGTCAAAAGACAAAACGTGATTGGTTTGTTTCGATTCACACCCACCCCAACAGTCCTATGTTGTAAACACAGCCAGCATGGTGAGGAGGGGGTTTGTCAACTCACATCGCATGTGTCTGTGTAGGAGCCTGAATGAATACTCCATGAAGTATCGGATGACATGGTTTCATCAATGTTATCATAGCTTTTTGGTACACAGCAGCTACCGTTGTTGCAATACGCGTTTGAAACAGTAAGGCGCTCGAGTGTGCTATCCGTTTGAATGCAGTATATGATTTCAACGTTAGATGGGAGAATTCCTACACACTGTGGCTTTAAACTTTTAGTACTCATCCATCCATCCATCCATCTTCTAACCTCTTCATCCTCTTGAGGGTCGCGGGGGGGCTGGAGCCTATCCCAGCTGACATTGGGCGAGAGGCAGGGTACACCCTGGACAGGTCGCCAGATGTGCCGCGGGCTGACACATAGACAGACAACCATTCACGCTCACATTCACACCTACGGACAATTTAGAGTTATCAATTAACCTAATCCCCAATCTGCATGTCTTTGGACTGTGGGAGGAAGCCGGAGTGCCCAGAGAGAACCCACTCTGACACAGGGAGAACATGCAAACTCCGCACAGAAGGGCTCCCACACCCGGGATCTAACCGGCAACCCTCTTGCTGTGAGGCGACAGTGCTAACCACCACACCACCGTGCCGCCACTTTTAGTACTCAGCAACAGAAAATTACAGGTTGAAGTAATCGCATTAAAAGAGGCTGTATTCCACGTAGGTTTACCAGTTCCAAGGACACTTTATTGAATTGGGCCATCATTAGGCTCATTTGAGATGAGCCAGGCCTTTGCAGAATCACTAACCACTGATCGCTACGCAATGCATTATGGTTAGATTTGTGTGTGACTTGATCCTGACTTGCTCTGATGTCATGCAAAAGTGGGCAATGATAACCTCAAGAGATCGAGACGACTGCAGTTTTTAGAGCCAGGCGCTGCAGTTGCTTTCCACCAACTGCAAGACCTAGGACATGATGGGAAACTGCTGGCTCTGGCCTGCTTGAACAGCCGAATGGTTTAGATGTTAACTAAACAATACAATGTTTTAAATAAATTTGACATTTTCTATGAATTGGAGAGATTTTGGTTTTATTTGTCTGATTCTGTTAACAGAACATAATGTGTGGCTGATGGTAATGTTTGGTAGTCAGAGACTAAATACATTCATATTACAGATCATTAAATACACATATTGTAGTCTATTTATTAATACTGGACGGTTTGTTATTGAAGTTTAGCAACACAGAGACTTGTGGTCAGTGGGATGTGAGGATTCTTAAAATAACAAATAATAGTCTGTACAGATGTAAAGCCCTAGCTATATCTGACTGATCTTTAATGAAAGGTGTTGGAATTCTTTCCTAATGTTTCAAGCAGGGCGTAAAATTAACACCCGCCAAGCGCCAATGGCGGGTAAAAAATGAGTTTAGCATGTAAAACAAAAACACACACCCGCCAGTGGCCGATGGAAAATTTTGAATTGCATGTGGGTTTTTTATGTGCTTCGACCATTTCTGCCAGCTGTGTCAGACCATTTTGACCCTCGCGGCTTATTGTACGTGTGCCGGGAATGCATGACATCAGCTACCGGAACCCCGGGCATTTTATGGTAACTTCTGAGCAAGATGTGGCGACACATTTCTGCCGTGAAGCCACCACCAGAAGAGGAAAAACGAAGATGAACATGTTGGATTTGAACAGGAAGAACAGACAGTTAAACGGAGTACAAATGTCGCACTGCATTTTATTGAAAAATGGAAACTAGACAACGCTGGCCAGCCACGGTCATGGCTGACCTACGACTCCCACACCAACATGATGAGCTGCAGCCTTTGCCGCAAGCATGCCAAAGAAACACGGAGGACAGGGTTGGATTTTCCTAAAGTTGGATTTTCATATGAAAAACGTAAGGTAATTATTTAAGTCAAACAAGGCACGATTTTTTTTATTTGGCTGGTGAAAAATATGTTTGGCCGGTAAATTTTTGGAGGTCACTAGCCAATGGCAGATGAGGTAAAAAGTTAATTTTATGCCCTGGTTTCAAGTTATTTATATTAAGGGGAAAGGTCTGCTCATCTGATCTATATACAGCAGCAAACTGCTGACTGACATGAGACTTCATGTAAAATGGAGGTTGAAGCATTTTAATAGGCTGCTATGTCATATAATTGAAACAACTGGAGACTGCGAACAAACTGATACACGGGTCTAAATCAGCATCAGATCTAAGAGGATGTGAGTGTTTCTGTGACTTCCTGTACTAGGGATGCACCGAAATGAAAATCTGTGGCTGAAGCCGAATAAAATTAAACACTTGTGTAACCCAGATAAAAAAACGGTGTATTTAAAAGGTGTATTAAAACCATTTCATTTTGTGTTAAAAAAGACAGGCAATTGGGTTAAAAGACAGTAAATGTGTTAATTTTATTTAATTAAAAACTTGAACTTGAAATTTGTGATAAAAAAATTAAATTAATTCATTCATTTTGCTGTTAAAAAGACAAATATACAGTTAAAAAGAGCCGAACTATATTAACAAAAAAAAAAAAAAAAAAAAAGTTATGGGAACTTTAATTTGAAAGGGATGAGTTGAAGAGCAGACAGCCTGTGACCCCACCGGCACAGGTTCACTTCCGCCGAAGCCTCTGGAAGAAGAGAGAAGGAGCACGCTTTGGACACGATCTCCATGTCAGGACGGTGAAGCAGAGGAAGCCAGTGAAAGTGACACAAACTGATAAAAACTTGGAAAAACACCACTGAGGAATCACCCCGGACGGCCAGAGTCTGCAGGAGTGCAGCTGGAGGACTCGCTCGGGTGGAGAAATCGCATTGGTGAGCGACCGTCCTGCCGTGCTAAACGCTAAATGCTAATTCGCTAATTCGACAAGCTAATCAGCTAACTCCACGAGCTAACCGCTAGCATAAAAGCTAACGGCCGAGCGCTAGCTCCAGTGTTAATCAGTCTCGCTAGGCACAGCAGCAATTTGCACTGCTAGTCACACCAAGCATTGATGCATAAGCAGTGATGTTACATTTGAAATGTCCTATGAGACAAATTATTTGCACTTTGTTTAGTTTTTACATTGAGTTATGGTGTCTAGGTGTGTGACTGTGGCCTTAATTGTCCATTATAGCACATTAAGCCATGTTTACCCAACTGTGAACATTATAAATGTTATATTTTGGTTATTTGTGTAATGTATATGTAAATTGCTATGAGAATAGTACATACATGATGATACTGTTAAAAACTAGTTGTTTTGCTATCATAATATATTTTGAGTTAATTATCTTTGCTATAAGCCAATTGTGATATTATATTGCAATACAAGTTCAGTTAAGCAATTGTTCTCTACAGATATAGAGACAATTTAAAGTGATTTATGTTCAATAATTCATATTTTGAGATCTGAGAAGTTGAAGAAAAATATTCTGATCCTACTTATTGTAGGTCAGGTTTTTGATGTACCCTTGGATTTGGATGGAACCTGCCTGGATGTCGGAGCCAGAGAGACGTTGATGGCGAGCCGGACCCTTGAGGAAACCAACAACACCACGGAATTGAATCCTTTTTCCACTTTTACATAAACACACACACCCACACTACAGTGTGGTTTGACTGCTTTCACCTAAACGGTGCCAAGTAAAGTAAAGTGAACTGGAAAGTAGAGACACACGCAGCTGCAGCGCATCTTTTTTTTAATTTTTATTTTAACTTGGTTTATTATTTTCAATACCTGGCCGGGTAAGGTGGTTTAATTGTGTTTTTTTATATGCTTCATTCATCTTCCCAGCGTTGTAATAAATTGGGAAGCATTGTTGTTTTCTCAAAAGAAGATCAGTGTGTGTGTCATTCCTGCGCATCCTTTGGTTACCCTGGGCTCCGTAGCTGAATCTAGGTCTTCTGTCCAACTGGCCATAGAATCAAGTTACTATCACCATTACTAACATCTTTCTCTTCAGAAGGGTTACACTTGGCCAAATACCGAGTACCGAATACCGTTGTTTAGTTTTTCATTAGTTTTTGCAGATGAACCCCCTCCAAATTAGTGTTGTCACGGTACCCAAATTGGGACCCACGGTACGATACCAGTGAAAATATCATGGTTCTGAGTAGTATCACGATACCACAGTGAAAATGAGGCAGATGTGCCTTTTGTCATTTATAAAAAGATAAATCACTTTTCTATATTACATCAATGATATTTTAATGGAATAAATTACTTACTGACTTAGTCATACTTCAAAAACAGCATCAATAAGTGATTAACAGAGGGGGGATCAAAATAAAATAAATAAATAAAATAAAAATCAACCAGCCACCCTCCTCCCCTGACAAGTAAAGAACAGTCTCTTCATAAGTAAAGAACAGTCCCGGTGCGGTGAGGTTTGTGGGCCGTTACCTGTCATAAAGAGAGAAATGTGAACGGCTCGTTTCTCCTCTGACACGTCACATACCTGTGTGCTGCCACGGCTCGGCTGTCCAGGTACTTTTGGGCAGTCATGACGCCAAGAAGAGGACATTATTGGAGCCGGACTTCTCCATCGCCTGTAAGCCTTATCTTGCGCTGCGGAGCACTATGGCCGCCGTATTTGACAGGAATACATATTCCTGTCTGTGTCTGTGACCCCCGTTCAACCCACAACCGGCAGGATTTGCCTTTCGTTTCTGCTGCTGGTTGAAATCTGTACTCGCACAGCGTGCTGAATGATTTATTTTGCTCGCACAAAACTATTTTTAGTCGCAAATGCAAGTGCGGTGACAGATGGAGTAAAATTAACATTTTACTCCATCCGTCACCGCACACTGTTTGATTGCGTTATCAAAACACGCCGCTATTACTCGGCCTTGCTTTTCACTTATTCCACCGAATACCGAATGTGTGTTTTTTTGCAATATTCGGCCGAATATATTCGGTTACCAAATATTTGGTGCATCCCTATCCTGTACAGACTGAAGGCTGCTGGAAACTGCTGAGACATAGCTGCAGACATATTTGTAGTGTACATGACATGCCCCTGCAAGCCACGCCCACCACTAGTACAAGACAAACCCACCATTTCATCGGTTTTCCAAACCCCGCTACAACATGGCATTGTAGTAAATAAAAATGAGGCCAAAAGTAGCAATATCCACTTTATAATTCATTATACATATAGGTATAATTCACTCTATACTGTATGTATTGAGATGTAATTCTTACCATTAATTATCCTTACCCTAACCCTAACTAGGGCTGTCCCGAATACCATTTTTTAACATTCGGACCTTTGGCAGAATGTATAACAAATATTTGAATTTTCGTTCACGGCGGGGGGCGGGCGGGGGGTTGCCTCCCCGGTCTGCCTCCGGGGTTTTTTCGGACCTAATTGTATTGCTGAGTTTTGCACAGTGGCGACTGGATCTTTGTTCTCAAACCACAAAATAATGTGATGGCACAACAGTCTCCTTCAGTACATTATTCTATGCTTTCTGTGGATTTTCACATTGGCTAGTCATCCTGTTTAATTTGTCTTCTGATTCCGATGCACTGCTGGTTCTGCCGGCCTGAATAGAATATAATGTTTTTTAGCCTTACTGTTGTGTGTACAGCCTTTATAGACTGAGCTAAGTAGTGATGTGCGGGTCGACCCGTAACCGGCGGGACCCGCAAATGGACCTGCAGGTCGGGCAGCAGTGATCGTCTGTTAATTATATTTTGACATTATTGGCTATTACTGTCATGGCATCCGAAGGTACTGATGTATTGAGCAGGTGACAGTCCACGGCCATTTTCAAAACACACTTGTGTCACGCACTCCAAAAGAAATTTGTTGAAACTTTAAACAATAATTTATTGTACAAAACGAGGGAAACAAACGTTGACAAAAACGGTTCCATAATTCATATTAAATTCAAAAGATAACGAAAAAACAGCTACAAGTTAGAGGGAATAGTGATAAAGTGGTAAAACTTGGCATTGATCCACAGCCTCAGACAGATGCACTCAAGCGTGCTGTGCGCACAAGCTCAGTTGGTAGGATACTATATTTTCACATTTTTAACAATGCAATTTAAAAGTTTTGATTTTTGTTGATAACCTACATTTACCAACAACAAAAAGACTACACTTAGCACCAAAAAAATAGGGGGAAAAAAGTAGATAAAAAAAAAAACGAATATTGAATACTAAATTTTCATAATGAATACCTACCCATAGAAACGAATATTCGAATATCCGAATATTTGGGAACAGCCCTAACCTTAATCAAAGTTGCTCAGTGGCACATGAAGCTTAAAAAGCTTTATTTCTGCGGTATGAAATTACCCGGATGATCTGCGCTGCTTCTGCACCATTGGGCAGATAGAGCAGGCATGCCAGAGATTTCCACAAGCTGGTCGTCTACTTCTGGTTTAGCGCTTCGCTAACTTCAATGGAGATACAATTATTTAATTGTGTGCTTCTTCTAGACTTTACAAATTTTATCGGACCGAATGTTTTAAATCCTGAGAGTGGAACGAGTCATTTTGTGGGGGTTGTGACACTCCAAAAAAATGTATCCACTCATTTAAGCCTTAAAGTCTTTTTGGGCCCATTGGCATCACATGACTGACTCGGGAACTGTAATTCCACTGTTTGGCCACTAGGAAAATTGGCTTTAAAGCCTGGAGCACTTCCTGAGGGCCTGCTAATTGCTAATTTAACATTTTCGTCTGGGTTTCCTTTTACAGGCCATGGGGCTGATCATGGACTGATGTGTAGGTGTAGTGAGTGAGTCATGTAGCTAGTGGGCAGGTCACATAGCTGCTTCGACTGCAGCTATACTTACTCAAAACTGTACGGCTTAACCACAGTGTTTTGTCACTGCCCTCTGCTGCTGCCTCCTGATCTCGTCCACTTTCTAGGCGAGCTGCAGTTCATCTCCAACAAGCCAACTGTCATTAATTACACCTATGATTGTTCAGTTATGAACCAGTTAACATGGCTGCTGTGAAAAACATCTATTGAACATGGGCTTTTATGATTAAATTCTTTTCAATTCTGTCTCTTCTGCTTCACTTCTCTCCCTTCACTTGCTCACTTCCTCCAAGCAGCCCTCTGTAGCAGATATGTGTGAAAAGAAAGAAGATCAGAAGAAACAGAATGCACCCCCTTATCGGTGGAACTGCAACCTAGCTGAATGAACCTTGTTAATTCATCTGGTGTAGTGCAGGTTAAGGTAGGCTGAAAATTATAGTCTGTGGCCATGACATTAGATGGAGAGAAAAATAATTAACATGACATAAAAAGCCAATTTGCCAGTATTTCTTCATTTTATTCTATGGTTCATACATTTTAATAAAAATAAAAATATTTCTGAAGCACTTGAATGCAGCACTAGAGCCTATCGGTTAGGGACTGGTCATTACTTAAAAGAGTGGAAGGGGTGGTGCAAAACGGGAGGGAGGCATGTCAGATACATTTTTAAGCACTGGGGATGGACTGTATTTTGGGTTTTTTTTGAATTTTATAGAACTTTGAAAAGGTTTTCTTTTGTGTTTATTCTAATATACCCTCTAAACCCTGTATCCCACAGGCAGGTTTGAAAGGCATGTTTTCTTTAAAAATAGCCAAAATCACACCCAAAAACACCCAAGCGACCCCTCCTCTGATAAGTAAAGTACAGTCCCCAAATGCCAGGTAGAAATGCCAACATGTGCAGTAGGCCTACCCAGATACAGTAGCAAAGTAGTTAACTGATCTAACTGGTTATTAGCTGTTGTTGTCGGTATTCTAGAGAGGTAGCCACCTAACGTTAGCTTTAGCTTTACGTGCTACTGTTCCGGCTGTACATTCTGTTCGACGTTAGTAGTAGTAGTAGAGAAAAAACTCCTACCAGGTAACCATAAACATCTTCAGGCTTGTGAAAGAAGAGCACATTGAGGGCTGTCTCTATCTCCTGAGGGACTCTGTTAACACGGTAAAACTCTGCTGCCGCATTCTTAATGTCGTAGTTATCCTGCTCCTCTTTAGAGAGACGGCTCATGAACCCTTGGTAAGACACTGTCATCACTGCACCTGCAGTTTCTGTGTTGTCTGTTACCATGGAAACAACCCATTCATGCGATAGCATGAGCTCAGGAAATCAGCTTTCATATACGCCCGTCTATTGGCCATCTCGTACATTAAAATCTGAATATGGACCCTCCCCTACGAAAATTTCTCCTTGAGCCTCCCTGATTGACTGGAAGAAAATATACGACCCTCTCTCCACCATACATTAGTAATTATATTTTTTTTTAACCTTACCTTTGATTTTTGAAATTTAAAAGTTAAAAGTTGTGGACAAAGTCCTGGAGTTGAAAAGAGGTTTTTCACTCCTGTCATGTATGCTTGTTAGTCAATGCAAACATTTTGGCCGAATTTTAAATGAGAGAATGAAGTGATTTTAGTGAAATATCACTATTTTAAGCTCAGATTTGGTTACGTTTTTTTTTTGTCTGACAAAAGTGCCCCATCTCATTTTTGGTTTTAAATTTGGGGCAGAGAGGACACCCAAACTCGGATGGTGAAAGGGTTGTGTGCCCCAGACTGGCTTCGTCACTCAAAATAGAGGGGTGCATCTGAAAAAAGGAGAAGTCAATCAACATTGATAGCTGGAAAACATACTGAACATCAACCATATTTTACCGATCTAAAGGACTCATGGTGGAGGAGGCACTACAGCTATTTATGTATTCACATGTGTATGTGTATTAGTGCTCTTCATTACTAAGACACCCAGGGCTATGTATACGTTAATTATCTGACCTGGTTAACCCTCTGGGGTCACTCATGTCGTATACCACATGAGATGACTCTCGTTACTATTTTTGGAATATCTCCGGGAAAAAAAGCTGTATATAACTTGATTGAGCAGTGCAGGGTTGAGGTTATACAAGCATTAATACACAAGGAGACCAGGCAAATCAAAAATTGGGAAAAAAATGTGCAGTGAGTGTGTGCACAGATGTTTTACACCACAACACACCAAAAAGCAGAGGAACACATATTAACCCCGCTGCAAACTACACATCTAAATTAACCAACACATCAAGCGAGGGCAGTAATAATCTCTGACCAACATTAACACTGTTTACACACAGACATTGATGAAAGGGAGCACAACAGACCTTGAGCAGCTAACGTTAAGTTAATACCAATCATGCCCTCGTTTTTACACAACAAATGTAGCTAAACCCACAATCCGGTGGTAGTAATTTGTGCATGCCGAGTTTCCCCACATAGACGTCCCCCTAATGATTTGATACATTACGTAGAATTGCATCTTAGAGAACATAACACACGTGTTAAAATATAATGAAGATGACGGCGCGTATAAACGCAGTGGCTTGGTACTCTCTGCTAGTGCTAGCTACTAGCTAGTACTGCTAGTGCTAAGTGCCAAACAGAATTTCGTTGTACAATGACAATAAAGTTGTCTACTTCTAATAATTAAAAGACTCGTTCTCTTACCGCTCTTTGTCTTTGCCGTGCATGTATTGTTTGCATTCTTCTCTTCGTCTTCTCCGTTGCCTTCTTCCTCTTCTTCTTCGGCGAATAATACACACACAGACCAACTTCCGGTATGGACTTCCGGTATGGATTGGATAATAATGGCGGCGCCCATGTCCGCTATCATGTCTGCAGCTGGGTCCCTCTCCTTAATGAGACTGATCTTGGTATCACAAGCAGTGCCATATCTCAATTATATTTCAGAACTGGAATTGAACATTAGGTGCAATCATCTTCCTCAAGCTGGTCTCACTTCAGCCAAAGGGATGGTGGTAACAATTACATTACTTGTTGGGTAGATTTACTGGAAATATACAAGAATTCCCTTAAAGGCATACCAACTTTCTAAAAGCATGCAGTTTATGAGATGTGTGCCTGAAGAGAGGGGAATAGTTTGTTTTGTCTGGTTTCTTTTTGGGTGATTCTGTTAGTCTGAATCCATCGTCTATTTTTGTGTAGTTCTCTGTTAAAAATAACAACAGAAACACAGAATACTGTGATAAATGAATACACATATATATATTAATCCCCGAGGGGAAATTCATTTTTTTCACTCTGTTGTCAATTACAGGTCTGAACACACACACACACACACACACAAACAGGACCTCCCCACTAAGTGGAGAGATGTCAGAGTGGGGCTGCCCATGATCCGAATGGTGGGGGGTTTGGTGCCTTGCTCAGGGGCACCTCAGCAGTGCCCAGGAGGTGAACTGGCACCTCTCCAGCTACCAGTCCACGCTCCATATTTTGGTCCGGACGGGGACTTGAACAGGCGACCCTCCGGTTCCCAACCCAAGTCCCTATGGAGTGAGCTACTGCCACCTGAATTAATTCAGGTCAATTCTGGTGTCCAAAGCATATTTATAATGTTAAAAATATATAAAAATTTCAAAACACTACTCTCACAACTCTCCCCTCTTTACTTACTCATATGAGTATTCACTATAAGAAATGAAAATTTAAGGAGCTATTGAGCTCAAAAGTACCAAACTGTCCTTCCTGGGTAACGTCCCTGCTTAAATCTAAGTACAAAAATATGCCAAAAATGTCAGAAATCTTAATAAAAGCATTAATTATCTACTGGGGCATAATTGTGTTAATGTTTGCAATGACATCTGCAAATATAATAACAATGCTAAGCTTATTTACATTTTAACGCAAGAAATAATTTTGTCTCCATATTTGGATTTCCATAATGTCCTTCCTGGGTAACAGACTATAGTGGCTATATATTACCATATTTGAATTTGGATAGTCATGTGACAGACTGTTGCATCAGCCAGAAGATTCTGAAGGACCCCCAGAACACATTACAAGGTCAAAAAGTCTCTCTTAAAATGTTGATATTTTGACCTTTTCGGTCACTGGTGCGTTATGTCCTCAAATTGTGTCTTTCTGGATAACGCTAATAAAACATTTATGATGTTTATATATTCAAAAACTACCTATTTCATGTGAAATATGACATTGATGTGTTGAAGTTTAAGTTATAGTTTTCCACAGTAGGCCTAGTTGCAGCCTGATTATAAAGGGAAAATTGTTTTTTATCCTTCCCGGATAACGATATGTCCTCCCTGGATAACAAAGATCTTCTGTTACCCAGGACATGTCCTCTGTTATCCAGAGTGGACATGTTTATCAATGCAGATTTGTATTAGTATCTGTAGCTTTTTAGGCATTGACTTCATATTGTTATATTAATAACAATATTATGTATTTTTTTAACTTTTATGGCATTTTCTGTTATTTATCTTGAATTCATCTGATTCAATGAACACAGGCCATTATCATAGATTTTTGTGAAGTTATTGTCCAAAAATGAACCAATAATAATGCTATGATCTAATATTTATGTTTTTAATAAGGTTTTAGTATAGTTTTTGATGTTTCAGGGTCAGTTTTGTTCTTCCAAATGCCGCTGTCTGATAAAGAGAGACAGAGACTATACAGGGTCAGAAAGAATGCTGATCCACAAGCTAGGGCTGAGTATCTTGAGGAAAAGAGAGCAAGGTATTGTGATTTAGTGAAGGCAGATCAGTAAAAAGGAAAAAAAAAATATCAAAATAGGTTTACACTCATTGCAAAAGGCTTAGATGTTTTAGTTAACCCTCTTGTTATGTTGTGGGTCAAATTGACCCATTTCAAAGTTTAAGAACACATAAAACATGTTGTTATTAAGTTTTGGAGCATGAAACTGTTTCTGCTGGACTTGATTAGTGTAATGAACATGTAAATGAAAAATGACTACTGACACGGCAGTAATAATGGAGGAAGGGTAAAAATATCACATTTCTTGCAAATCAAGACACAAGAGAAGAGAATGACAGCCCAGGAGGCTCTGGAACATATCCTTGATCAGGATAGTGAAGTTGAGGAGGAATTGTCTGAAAATGAAGATGATCTTGAGATCAACTCTGACCATAATGATGAATTTTCAGACCATCAATTTCAAGAGAAACATTCATATCAAAAAATGGCCAAATAGAATATTGAATGCCTCATTTTTGCCAGAGCACTAAAAGAAATCAGTTTGAAAGTTATTTTTTAATGAAAAACGAGTGAATTCTCATAAGTAAACCATGATCTGTAAGGGGTGAAACAATTGATTACATTAAATAATGATTACATTAATGTCAATTGAGCTAACGATAATGTTTATGGAGAAAAATATATTTACCTCCACCAAGGAGGTTATGTTTTCTCCGGCGTTGGTCTCTTTGTCTGTATGTTCGTTTGTCTGTTTGTTTGTTTGTTTGTCTGCAAAATAACTCAAACATTTATGAACGGATTTTGATGAAATTTTCAGGAAAGGTGGATAATGGGACAAGGAACAGATGATAAAATTTTGGTGGTGATCGGTTGAAGCAAAGTGGATAAAATAATAAATAAAATCTATGGTCTGACAGCCTCAGCAGCAATTAAGACGGTGAAAATAGCGCCATCTGGTGGCTGGAAAGCACATCTCGTTCTACTTGCTAAATATTGTTAAATTCTAAAGTTGAAATTAATCTTCTGTGTTGGAAAAAAGAAAGTGAAAAATACAAAAAAACATTATATTCTGTGTTGGTACAAAATAAAAATGAAATAAATACACCACAGTGTCTCCATGGTGAAGGCATAACCTAATAATGATAGTGATGCAAATAACCTAATTGTGATGCAGGCTGCAAAATCTGATGCAGAGGGGGAGGGAATATCACTTACTTGGCGAAGGTCTGCACTCTCTGTGTGCTTTTCTAGTTTTGAACTACTTTCAGATGGTTAAATATCCACCGGGTCAATTTGACCCGGGATCATCATTGCAATAAATGAGTTACACTGTTGCATGAAATGAAAGATTAAAAATCATCTTTTCAGATCTTTAACAGCTGTCAGTTGCTTTGTATTATGTATGTTTGTTGAAAAAATGATGTTCTGAGACAGCCTTTAATGATAATTACTTTGAAATTTAATTTTAACCCAGATTTTCATGTTATATTACTCAATCATGTTTCTTGAGTTGAGGATACAATAACAACCCTTTTACCTTTTACTATAAAACATTTTAAAACATTTTCCATCTTTTTTCTCTTTTTGGAATAGAACATTGTGTGATCAACAGCAACTAATAAAC